CACCAACAAACACACAGATTTTCAACACCACCACAATCCCCTAACAATTCAAAATTTAAGAAAAATAAATACAAGCAACCACGTCAAACAAATTGATAGGAGAGTATATAAATTACTTTCATAAAAACTAAAATTTGTTTTTCAAAGGATCAGGCTATGACCCAGGCGTTGAGGTTCTACATAAGGCAACGTGAAAAGGGAAACGTGGTACTCGCAAATCAATTTGCTTTTCAGAATATGTGAAAGGACATACCAAATGTTGTCCCCAAAAACTAAGCTGAACTCAATGACACTGAAATAAGCTATTTCATCCATTCAGAGATCGTCCATACATCTCATGTTGTTCAATAGATATAACACCTCAGAATTCAATGTGTGGAGAAAGGTTTGCGAGAGTTACTACGAGTAGTTAGTGTTAACATGCGCTGAAACAACCATACGTTTCTTTTTGGGGGTGAATAGCCGAAATCAATACTACAGCCACACGAATAAACTAGTTCAGGGGTATTATGCAGTCTCAGATTTCACGTGTCTTTCTGGGTCTGACTCATTAACATGTTACTCTAAAGCAACCACACGTATGTAAAAAAATGCTAGGTTAATATGTCTGGCCCATTAAAAAAACAAAAACGATTCAAAGTATTTATTCACTTTGACACTTGGTTTACGTTAATCCTTAAGTAGATAAAATGATATTATGGTGCTTCGTGTTGAAGACAGGGTACTAAAAACCCACGCCCGTTTATCTCACCGAGACACAAATGATCGTTGAATATAACGCATCGAAATTAAAACCCAACTTTGAAGAGAAGGAGCTGAATTACTCCTTTACTGCGTCTCTCTTAATTCAACTTTTGGCTTGTTCAGCATTTCTTGGCGATTTATACACATAATGATATACATACGTTTGATGCACGGCCTGTCTTACCTTGAAGTATCAAAGGTTAAAAAGTATCGCATTGAGAAACAATTGTATCTCTTATTCTTGGAATGTTTAAGCCAAAGAACGAATATTCATATCTTTTATTTAAAATCATAAGCTAGATCTTCCACGAGTAAAGCAAATGAGATTAATGCTTCACCGACCGAAAAACAGCATCTAGGAATTAAAAGAATAAAATTTGCTAACAAATAAATCTTAAATTATTATAGAAAAACACAAGACAGACACGATGTTGTAAGGCTTCTCTTAAAGTGTATCGACTCTTCAGTTTGGCAGTATGTGTGTGTGCTAGTGTGTGTGTGTGTGTGTGTGTGTGT